AAACAGTAACAGGAAGAAGTGAGAAAAATTTCTAAACGTTTAGAAATTAAATACTAGATTTCTAAGTGGAGAATAAAAAATTGCAAAGAAAATTAGAATATATTTTGATTAGAAAAATGAAAGCATACATATCTCACATATTTTGTGCAATGAAGTTAAGCTGATCTTAAGAGTGAAATTTATAGCTTTAAATGCTTACATTAGAAAAGTCTTGAGCGGGGGGGCTGGGGTGGTGCACCTGTAATCCGTATTCTAGTACTTGAAAGGTTGAAACAGGAAAATCACTGTGGGTTTGAGATCAGCATGGGCTACACAGTAAGTTCAAGGCCAATAAGAACTATGAAGTGAGGCCCTGTCTCAAAAACAGAAACCGAAAAAAAGCCTACAACAATGATATCAGCTTCTACTTTAAGAAGCTGGAAAAAGATCAGCAAATTAAACTCAAAGTAAAAGAAAGGTAATGATAAAACTAGGAGTATAAATCAATAAAACAAAATATAGAAAAGAATAAACCAAACCTGGTTGGTTTTCTGAAAAGATTATAAAATAACAAACCTCTAGCTAAATTAATCAAGGAAAAGGAGAAAATACACATTTCTAACACCAGGCATAAAAAGATACATGTCAAAGAAACAAAATGGCTCATTTTCACAGTGGAAACTACTCGCAGTTAAAACTACCTAGCTGCCTGTGGACTGACAAAGTTCCTGCATCTAGGAGGTCCCTAGGACAGGACCTAGGAGAGATATAAACAAGGAAGAAAGCCTTTGTGGAAAACGTATGCATGAGTGGGGAGACGAAGAAAGGCACAGACCACAGACGGGCCGTTTTCAGAATAAGACAGCTAAGGCTAAATGGAAACACAGTTATCACAAGGTCGCATAAAATTCCTACACAGAAGCACCTGCTTCTCAGAAATTGAAGGAAAGGACAGACAGTCCTTTCAGTCTTATCAAGAAAACCCAAAGTTAAACTGGGAGGGGCAATGGGGAATGCCTTATATTAAACTGATAAAAATAGATACTACACTTGATCTTAGCCAAAAGGCTGAGAAGTGATGGGAATGCCTTATAAAGAGAAAGCACTCTGGAAAGACTGTATCCCGCAGACTACTCAGCCAACTAAGACGGGGAAAGGGCCTGCTTGCTAGGGCTACACTGCTCGCTGTGACTGCCCAGATGTGCGGCTCACACAGCAGACACTCGCCTTCAAGACTGACATTGAAAAGCCTCTCTTCCACTGCTCTTAATGCCTGAGTCCATTCCTCAGTTCTGGATGAGTGAACTCCTTTCTCTCAGTAGTACATTACTACAGATCCTCCAGAAATAAGACATAGGGAATATTATTTCCTTAAAAGGCATCTCAACTAATTAGGACCAGAAGAACTCCTTCAACCTGATACATTTATGTAAATATGTTATGAATATTAAAAATAGAGCTAATACCATATTTGACGATGAAAGACTGAAAGGCCTTCCCATAAACCCAGGGCTGAGGTTAGGACGTCTGCCCATAGTACTTCTCCATTTAGCATTACACTTGAGGCCCCAACCTGCTGAACATGGAATATAAAACATACGGATTAAAAAGATGTCATTATGCCTTTATTCACAGATGAAATGATTATACATGCAAAAGTTCCTAAGAAAGCCATAAAAATAGATGATGGAAATTAAAAGTGAATCCAGCATGATCACAAGAAGTCAATATAAAAAATTATGTATCTATGGGCAAAGTCTGAGCAATGAAAACTAACTCTGTTTAGAGAAAATAAAGGGAAGCTAAAGGATGGAAAAATACATCATGTTCATACACAAGATTCGACACTGTTAAGATATAAAATCTATGAAATTAATCTCTAGATTCAACACAATCCCAGCAGGACTTTTTGTAGAAACTGATGAGCTGAATCCAAATGTATTAGAAATGCATTTAAAATGAAAAGCTCTTAAGAGAACTGAAGACAGAGTTGAAAGCCTTAACAACACCTGACTCTCAAATTTATTACAAAGACAGAGTAACTAAGGCAGAGCGTTATTAACACTCCCTTTGTGGGAGACCAGACAGGGAAAACTGAAGCCTAATTGAGCTCCTCTGTGAGCACAAAGAAGTAAGGCAGCATGCAGGCACCACGGCATGCTGCAGGTTCCAGGAGAAAGTCAACAAAGCTGAGATCCAGGTGTTCACCTGGGTATATACTAATAGATGACAGGAAGCAGATGAATCTCTGCTATTGTAATTGCTTATACCCATGTCGGTGTGAATAAAGGCAAGGTGAAACATTCAGGCAGTCTGTCCATGAGAGGCAAGAGCCTTCTAGGTACTGCATTCTAAACCAGCCCGGTTTCTTTTTGTCTTTCATCCTCCTTTGCCTCAACTCCCTCATCAGGTGGCAAACTAGTAAACTGAGTCTCTATATCCCTTAACTTGTGGGTATGGGGTATTTTGTCTGAGCAATGAGAGAAAAGGAAGACGTAGTCTGAAAGAAAATTAAAAATTTTAAGAATCTATAAAAGGCCAGATACTGAGTTCTGGACATTCAATTCTCATAACCATCATCTAAGGTAGAAAGGACCAGACTTGATCACTTGAAGAAATGCCAGGCAACCACATATCCCACTTATTGGACTCATGAATCAAGCCTGAGAGCATCACCTCTGTTGTTCCCACTATTACTGCCGTATTTTTATTACATGTCTTCCTCATGGAAATTCTCACTAACACTGAAAGCATGGTTTTTAAATAGCAACTTCATTGGTTTTTAGCTTTCTAAGACAAATCAATTTAAAATAAAGCACAAAAAAGATTATGAACTTAAGTAATCCATAAACTGAACAATGACAGGCTAACCAACCACTATGTACTATACCTCTAACTACATTATATAAAGATGTTTGGGCCTGGGGATATAACTCAGTGGTAGAGTACATGGCTAGTATGTACAAGGACATGGGTTTAATCCCCAACACCTCACAACCAAAACCAAAACCAAACTAAAAAAAACCAACCAAACAAACAAACAAAAAACCCTGTTCATTGTACTAAGCATTTAGTATTTATTTTTATTTTTTTATTTTTGTATGTAATACAGGGTCTACAGGGTCTTACTACATAGGTTAGACTCGTAGTGATCCTCCTGTTTTCAGCCTCCCAAATGCTGGGATTACAGGCCTGCACCACTAGGCTCAGTCTCATTTGCTGACTCAGAGTGTCCTGGGGATGGGGCTGGCATAGCACGCCAGGGATGGAACCCAGCCGCTGCATTCTGCCTAAGCATACGCTTTAGTCCCCTGAGCTATCTGGCTGACCCCAGCATTTAGTATTTAAATGCTTGTCATAAAATCATAAAAAGGATAAATTCTTTTCTTTTTTAAGTACTACAGGTTGAGCCTAGGCCCTTTACACTGAGCTACATCCCCAGCACTTTTTTTATTTTTTCAGTTTTAGACAAGTTGTAGCTAAGCTGCACATACTAGAGTCCAATTTGCAATCCTCCTGCATCCGCCTTCCAAAGTGCTTGGATTACAGGCATGTACGTGTATGGCAAGTAAATTCTAATCTTTCCAGCATCACATAGTAGTTTAGTGATACAACTACAATTCTCTTCTATCTGGAAATTCAGATAATCCTCAATTTATGGTGGTTTAACTTAGAATGTTTTCACTTTACCTGAGGCAAAAACAATAGAAACCATATGCGGAAAATTTCCCCCAAACTAGCAACATGCAGTAACATCCTCTCAGGGATGATACTGTCTAGGAATTCTGGGTAGCAGTAGTGAGCTGCAGCTCCCAGTAAGCCGTTTATTCACATGATCAAGAGGATAAGCAACAAAAACATGCTGCAGGGGATTCTACTGCTAGGTTATGATGCTGGGTAGGTCTATAAATGTACTTTGGACACCCAGGCATGGCTGATCTGTCAGCCCAGCCCTTTGGGAGGCACAGGAAAGAGGACTGCAAGTTTAAGCATAGCCTAGGCAACTTGGCCAGACCGTGTCTCTAAAAAAAAAATTAAGGAAAGACAGAGAAATAGCTCAGTGTGGTGGCCCTTGGTTCAATACGCAGTACAGCCAAAAGATATTTTCAGTTTATCGTGAAGCTACTGGGACAAAACCCCATCATAAATTCTTACTATAGATGTTTGACTTTTAAAATAATATACCAAGTACTATCTGGTTGAACTACCTACATGTTCTGTAAAAAGTAAAATTCTGAGCTGAGTGTGGTGGTATATGCATGAAGTTAGTGACTTGAGAGGCTGACATGGGACAATCACTTGAATCCGCAAGTTTAAGACCAATCTGAGCAACCAAAGAGACTACATCTCAAAGAGAAAAATAAGTAAAAAGAACAAAATTATTGTCAGGTGTGATGGCACACACCTATAATCCCAGCACTTAGGGAGGCTGAGGCAAGAGGATCACAGGTTCAGGAACTCAGATTGTCTCAAAATAGAAATTATAAGGGCCTAGGGATGTTGGTCAGAGTAAGAACACTCCTGGTCAGAGTAAGAGCAACCCTCATACCAATTAAAAAAAACAAAATCCTTAAAATTCAATATCTAAAAACATTTAAGACAAATAACCACATATCAGAATAAAAATCATTATTGACATAAATGCTATAAAACGCATACAACATTCAAGAAGACATGGTAGAAAATAGAGCAAAAACTTTTTCATATTCAAGAAGGAAGTGACTAATCATGGTGTCATACATCTGTAATCCCAGCACTTGAGAGACTGAGGCAGGAGGATCTAGAGTTCCAGGCCAGTCTGGGCTATACAGTGAGTTCCAGGCCAGTCTGAACTGCATAGTTAATACCCTGTCTCTCCGAAAAAAAAAAAAAAAAAAGAAGTGGTGGGAAAGACCTTCTTAGAACTGCAAGTCAGGGGAGGTAAAGGTGAAAAATAAACATGCATACATACTTTTGGTGCTAAATTAACACTACCTCATACAGATATCACATTCTAACTCGTGAAGACAAAACTTACTTACAGTTATGTGAACACTGAGGAATTATCATTGCAATGTTGAAATATTCAAAGCAAATTCCACATCGCAGCAAGTCATCTATTGTCTGAAATGCAAAAATGCATACATATTCAGAAAGACACTAGAATTAGAAAGTTCGCCAGGAATTGTTCTCTATTCCCTAAAAACAAACAATCGAATTTCTTTGCCAGTTACATGTATCTTCAAAAGCTAGCCCCAAACAACCTATAAGGCATCTTGATGGAGGGAGAAAAAAAAAAAAATCCTTCATATAACCCACATGTGTCCAAATCTCAGGTTATTCAAAATGCTTTCAACCCATTGATTTTGCAGTTTCCTGTGGCATACTTTTAGCCATTTATAAAATGTTTAATGTATTCCTGCTCCACTTTATATGTATTTCCAGTTCTTACTCAAAGCCTCCTCCTCTTTAGAACCCTACCCCATGGTCTATGGTTACCTGGGGTAAAAGGAACCACTATTACAGCCAAACGTTAGGAATTATCTAATCAAGAGCTGGGAATGTACCTTAGGGGCAGAGCACTTGCCTAGCATGTATGAGGCTCTGGGTTTGATCCCCAACAAGGCACATCACTCACACACACATACACACACATATATACCAGAAATTATGTAATTAAAATCCTTCCTTCACAAATGAGGAAACTAGTATCTAGCACAGGCGTAAGTCAAGCTGGAACTAAACTGTCTGTCTTCTCATTCTCTGCCAAGCCAGTATTTTCTGCACAATATTAACTGGTAGAATTAAATGGGGGAGCCCTGGAAATAGAAGGGTCAGTGACAGCAGAGGAGGTGAAGCAGACAAACTAGACCATCAGACACATGTGTCAATCCGGAATGCAGTCTACACTGGAAAGGATCTTTTCTTGCAATCCAAAATCTTTCCAAGCATTTAAGTAAGGTTCAGGCAGTATGTGTGGTTTGCTAGCTTTCCTTTAAAAGGGAGCGCTAAGGGCCCTGGGGTATAGGTCAGTGGAACAGCACTTGCTCAGCATGTGCAGTGCCTTGGGTTCCTTGCCCAGCACTGTAAAAGAAAAGAGAAGAGCGTAAGAATGGACTTTGTTCTTACCATAGATGGTAAAGAGATTCTGAAAAAATATATAATAAAATGAGCAATGGTGGCTGGGATAGCAAACTGGAGAAGTGAGGGGCTTTGTGGAAGATACACTTACTTTTTTTTTTTTTTTGGTGGAACCAGTCATCAAACTCAGGCCCTTGCACTTGCCAGGGAAGCGCTTATTCCACTGAGCCATCTCCCTAGACCCAGGATACACTTACTTTTCACATTATGAGGGTTTTTTAAACTATACAAATCTATTACCTAAATTTTAGTATATGTAAAAAAGATTAATGTCATTAATTGTCCATATGAAATATTATGTAGCCATTAAAATATTTTTAAAGACTAATGCTACAACTATGAATTACTACTAAGAAGACAACAATATGCAATGTATGAATTATTGCAACTGTCCTACTATCCTGTTTTGAAACTGTCTCATTACTATTTCTCAATAAAATTAATAAAAAATAAATTAAAAAAAGACTAATGCTACAAGAAAATGTTCATATTTTAATCAATACTTCAAAAAGTCAGAAAACAAATCTATAAAAATATAGAATTACAGCAACTCTGAAGTTTAAGCCTGATATCAACAATAATCATATCCATTTTGTTGTTGTTATTCATCTTGTTTTCTTTTTAGAGGACTTTTCACAAAATAAAACAAAGTGCCGGACAAATAGCTCAGCGGATTAAAGAGCCTGCAAGCAGGCGCAGGGGCACGGGGTTCAACCCTCAGGCCTGCCGTGTCGTCCCTGCCACCAGGGCGCGCTGAGATGGCAATTGAGACTGGGTGTCATGGTGTGCGCCTGTAATCCCAGCTCTTGGGAGGCTGTAAACAGGCGGATCACTAGGAGTCCGATCTAGTAGTGAGATCTAGTAGTGAGACCCTGAACACCCTGTAGACCCTTCCCTAAAATACAAAAAATAAACAAAAATAAAACAAAGAGAATATAAGGAAAATATTATAAAATTTAAATTAAATCTGTCTCTGCTTCATCCCTCACCTCCCCAGCTCTTTCCTTCGGGAGGAAAAGCTTTTAACAGTCACCTGTTACGTAGTATAAATATCTTATTTTCCCTTAAGGTTAATGCTCTTCAGAGGGCTGGCATATAACTCAGCATAAAGCACTTGCCCAGCATGCATAAGGCCCTGAGTTTGAGCCTCAACACTGTCAAGAACAAAAATATTCTTCAGAAAGATTATTATCAGAGATGATGTGACATTACATGCTATGCATGTGCTAATGCATTTAATATTCCTCTGTTTTAGACCATGTTTGTTATTTCTGATTATTCTCATAAGTCATACTGTAAAGGTAATTTTAAAACATAACTAGGGCTGGGAGATAGTTTAGCAATCTATGTGCCTGCCTTTGGGGCTTTTTGTTTATTTGTTTGTTTTTGGTTTGTTTTGTCTCAACTATATTGATTTCTGCTCTGATCATTATAATGTTTTCCTTGTATTAGCCTTGGGTTTAGATTGCTCTTGATTTTCTAGGACCTTGAGGTATATTATGAGGCTACTTGGGCTCGCTATCTTAGTGATATGCACCTTCACAGCTATAAACTTTCTCCTTAGAACTGCTTTTATTTCCCATAATTTATCATATGTTATGCTGCCATTATCATTTACTTCTAGAAACTGTTATTTCTGTAACCCATTGTTTAAGTGTATTGTTTAGTTTCCAGAATAAAACAGAATAAAACGTAAAGGGGGAAAACAGAAAAGGTAAAAGGAGCAACCCAGATCTCCAAAATCAACTGATGAAGGGAAGTGTCTCGGTTACTTTTCTCTTGTTGCTAGGACAAAATACCTAGGCAACACTCAGAACTGAGAAGGAAAAGGTTTATTTAGCTCACAGTTAGTGGAGGTTTCAGTTAGTCAGCTGGTTCTAAGGCACAGTGGCTTATGGCCGAGAGCAACCATTCCTGGTGGCAGCAGCAAAGAGCAGAAAGCAAAGAGAGGAGCTACAGCACGGGCAGCCAGCTCGCCTCTCCCTGCTTACTTACATCTGTATGCAGAGTATCTGCCTCACGGCACTCATAATCCCAGCACTGGATCAAGAATCAGCCACAAACTCCAGAAGCCGCCCCACAACTGCATAAGGTTTGTGGCGGGGGGAAGGACAACTAGACACAAACCATAACAGGAAAAAAATAAAAAATAGTCTTAAAAAATTAGTCAAAAGAAAAAAATTCCTGTTTTGGAATGAGTAGTTTCTTTCCAAGATCTGCAGTTTCTAGTATATGTGCTGCCAAAGTGAGCACAGATCTACAGTTTTGGGATCCAGCCAGTCAGAATTCTCTCCACCTAGCTTTAGAGCCAATGGGCCTTTGAGGTACCCTCCCTGCACCTCAGGGCTCCCTATCCATTCACCCCAGAACGTGGTTACCCTTCAAGCTAAGATCTGTCTTGCTCCTGCTGGTAGATGGGAAATGCCATCAGCCCTCAGGTCTCTGCTGGGTACTGGCTGTAGGGCAGGAGTTCAAGTGGACTGCTGGACTTAATGCTGACAGCCATAGGGTCTGGTTACTCCCTTCTCTCCCTGCACATTGTCCTAGTCCAGGATCAGGTCAGCTGGTTAGTCCTTGCCTCTGTCGCCTGTGCCAAGTGGCAATAAAATGTAGATCCAACTAAGAGTTGGTGGATGGTCTTATCCTTGGGTGTGGAGAGCAGGTCCTGCATGGGTCTGCCTGTTTGCATGGGCATAGCTGTACGTACAGCACAGGCCTGCGTCCCCGCACTGGTGGAAGGGCTCCCTCCGACAGATCTGGAGTGACTCCACACATCTGGAGCAGGCCTGCTTGCTCACTCTGAGAAGGTCGTGGCTCAACTGGCGTGGGCCTGCTTGCCTACATCAGGAGAGGGCCAGCTGCATGTGTCTCGATGATGAGGATGATGATGATGATGATGATGATGATGATGATGATGATGATGCAAGTAAAAGCCTAAATGAAGAGCTACCAGCAGATGTTTCAAGATTTAGTTTATCAAGTCAAAAGGCGAAACTGAGGAAGGGTGAAAAGAAGGCTTTTAAGCTCTTGGCTACAGATCCTTTGGAAATTGGGTGAAAATAATTCCAGACATCAAAGTCTTTCTATGGATCTCAAGTTAGAAATCATAGATTGTGATTCAGATTTCTATTTGATATAAGAACTCCAGTCATGGATGCTTCTAGTTCTTTGGCCCTGGAGGAATTCAAACAAAAATTCAGAAGAAAAATTGGGAGATGGTGGGGGAATGGCTTTCCAATCCTAAGACTCCTTGATCTCAATGTGAGCTAAATATGTGCTCAAGCCACTCTTTGGTGGAAATTCATTGAATATGCTCTAGTACTGCACTCTATATTCAGTGCAGTGGTGAGATTGTGAAAGCCAGAGAAGACATGGAACCTGCCTCTAAAGAACACTAGGAAGTATGGAAATATATAAAACATGCATAAGCCTACAAGGCAGGAGCTTTAAAGGACACAGAGCTCTTTTTCCTTTATCCAACTCAATCTTGATGACAATAAACAAAAGGGGAAGAGAAGCACTTAACATGCTAAGGCCTTATAACAACAATATAGATACCTTCCGTCAATTAGAACATTTCTGAGCGCTCACTTTGTGCCAACAGACTTCCTACCCACATAAATAACTCAACTAAGCAACTTTGTTTTTGTTTCTAGCTTGAGAAAATTAAGTCTCAGAGAGGTTAAAAAAGTATTATTCCCAAGGTTACACAGTAAGAGAAAAAAGACCAGATTCAACCCAGGATCAGCAGAATTCAAATCTATGCTCTTCATCATATCTTGGTGCTAAGACTACAATGTCAAAACCAGGGATTTCCTGGCAGGATCTTACCACAGGTTAGCTTTTCACCACAGGGAAATCTCATGTGCCCAAGCACTGCCCCGATGACAGCAGGAAGAACAAGACCCTCTCCCAAGACCCTGCATTTAATTCTCAAAGTTTGCTTTAAGAGTGGGGGTTGAGGACATCTTATTTCCAAGTTTTAAAAAAGGGAGGAAAGATGGAAAATTATCTAGTTACAAACGGGGGTGGGGGGAAAGCACAGCTACAAGAAACACCAAGGAAATGATTTTTTTCAGCAAAGCAAAGCACACCAGCGCCTGAGCAAACTTAGTGGGAATCCAGGGCTCATGGAAACCAAAAATGGAAATGGATATGCCTTGTCGAAAACAAAAAGGCAGTGGCACATGCCTGTAATCCCAGCATTCTAGGAGAGCAAAGCAGAAGGACTGAAAGTTCAAGCTCAGCCTGGTCAACACACCAACCTAGAGATTCTATCTCAAAAATGAAAAATAAAACGGGGAAAGGAGACTGGAGATGTAGCTCAGTTCAAAGGTCCTGGATTCATTCCCCAATTTAAAAAAAAAAAAAAAAAAAAGCCAAAATAAATAAATGTTAGGAAGGGCCAGGTGTAGTGGCGAATATCTGTAATCCCAGCACTGGGAAAGATGAAGGAGGCATATTGCTGCACAAGACAGGCCTGGGCTACAAAGTGAGTTGTTCAAGGCTAGCCTGAACTATGAAGTGAAACCCTGTCTCAAATAACAAAGGTTATGTGAACAAATAATTCTATAAAATGAAATAATGCTGAGCCTAAGTCCCGATCTCTGTTTAAACGCAAGTGAAATGAGCAGTTTACGACATGTTGGAGAGGAATGCATTGCAGTATGTTAGGACAAACCATAATTAGAAGAAATGAAAGATCATGTAAAGCAGATTATCTGCAATGCTAGGTGATTTTTAAAGTATTAATTCATACAATACCCATCCAAATGTTGCCCGGGGTCCCTATGACACAGTGTCTGCGGCATGGGTACTCAAAAAGGGTTAGCTTGGCACCGGTCAGTGTTTTTCTGATAACACTGTTCCTGCTGCGGCTGAACCTCAGCACACCTGGTTGACGGCCATGCTCAGCTCACCGTGAAGAGCTGAAGATTGTTCCTAATACTTCTCAAGACAAGAAACGGAAGCCCAAAGCTAAGCTGTTGGCAAGAAGAGACACAACAGGGCCTGGTACCTTGGCCCAGCTCGCCGCTCGGTCAAGTCCTTTCTCTACCCAAGGCGCGGATGGTCTCTCACGGACATCCGGAAGCCCCAACCTCCCCAAAGCACTCACCTTCATGACTGCCAGGCCCGGAGGCCACCGAGGCTCGCCCAGGGGTTCCATAAACGTCCGGGAGAGTGCACAAGACCCACTAACCTCCCGCGCGGGACTACCACTCGAAATTCCCCGCGCTGGTGTTGACATCACGAGCCCGCGACGCCTGATGCGATCGCGGAGCCTGCCGGGAGTTGTAGTGCGCGGGTGGAGGGCGGCCAAAGATGCTAGCACTGCGCACGCGCCAGACTTCTGGGTTGCTTGTCAGAGTAGAAGTGATGTTTTTAGTTTGCTTTATTTTATTTTTTTTGGCACTGGGGGTTGAGCTCAGGACCTTGTGCTTGCCAGGCAGGCACTTAAGTCGCTGAGATATCTCCCCAGGCCAGAAGTGATATTTTTAAAATCTCACAGCAGGTTGAATATTAAGAAAAGAGCCAGGAAACAAATAAAATGCAAACCTTGCCAAGAGTTTCAAAATCTATACTGCTGGCTCTTCGCATACGCCTTTCCTGATCGCTACAATTTGGCCTGCTCTGAGTATTTTATTTGTCCTTTCTTTTCTTTCATTTTGATATAGGGTCTCTCTAAATTACTCGGGCTGGGCTTGAACTTGAAATGCTGGTATTACAGGTGTGCAGCACCATGCCCAAGTACGGAAAGTGTTTTTATTCCTTCGCACTTGTTTGGTCCATTACTTATTACTCAGACTCATTCCCCCCAGCTAGGAGTGAGAAACAGATTCCTACTCCAGGCCACCCTGTTAGTAAGTGGAAAAAGTATTTGAACTCAGGCAGTCTGGCTGGAAAGCACGCATTAAACACTACAGAATAAAGGCCTCATCATAATGTTTATTCTCATTTAATAGATGTCAGAATTGAAACTCATTCATGATCAGTTTGGTAACTGGCAATGTCAAGACTTGAACCCAAGTTTTTAAACCCCAACCAGAGGGCATCACCCCCCTGACACTTAGTGAGGAATAAGTGCTTGCAGTGGGGGCCAGGCCTGAGAATCCCAGAATATCTAGTGGGGCCAGGATACAAAGAGAGGAGTGGAGGGGTGGGTGCCCCTGTGGCTTTGTATCATTCAGCCAAAGAAGGACATGAGATGACCTCCAGACTGAGGGATGCTGTGGGAAGGTTCTGGCTGCAGGGGTGGAGTGGAGGAGTGAGACACAAGGGAAGTAGCAGTAAGAGCTGACCCCCGCCTGTGTGCAGTTACTGTTTTATGCAGCTAGTTTTAAGCCTAACACTGTGGTTAGGCTTAGGGTGATAAATGGCTGGGAAGATGAATGAGGAAGTGGGACAACACAGAACAAATGGGGAAGGGTCGGGTTCAGTGCACGTGTCCATAACCCCACCTGCTCAGGAGACTGAGGTAGGAGACTTGCATTATGAGATCAACCTGGGCAAATTAGTGAGATCCAATCCCAAAATAAAACAAAAAGGGGCCTGGGCCGTTGCACCATGGTGCAGCATTTGCCTGGTATGTGCAAGGCCCCAGGTTCAGCCACCAGCATCGCCAAACAAAAGAGCAAAAAAGAATGGGAAAGGGAGGGGACAGTGGCAGGGAAGGAAGTGCATTCTTCTCATTCAACCATGAGGACAGATTCAGCAGGAACCAGCTGCCTGTTCCAAAGTCCAAGTCGCTCCTGGCGCAAGCGTGCTGTTCACCTCTGATTCCTGGCCACCAACTGCTTAGTGAGGCAGAAGGAGTGATGAGGCATCAGCTGAGCCCACTGCCCATATGTCTCTTCCTCCCAGAAGCGTCCCCTCCATGCTCCTCAGGAGGCTTTCCCTGGGTGTCGGCCTGGGGAGGGGCACTGAAGGTGCAAGCAGGGGCTGAAAGTCCACCTTTAGCTCTGAGCAAGGCGTTGCTCATACCACCCCCAGGAGCTTACCCTCCCTGGAGCCCTTTCCTCCAGCAAGTGCTGTTCCAAGGACATTCCCTTCTGCAGCTTGATGCGGAATTGTACTTCCTTATTCGAGTGAAAACAAAATGTTCCACATTAAAAAAAAAAAAAGGCCAGTGCTCAGCAGAATCTCCCACGATACTCAGCAACGGTGAGGATCCAGGTTAGAGTAGCACAATAAAACACAGGAAGTCCAGCAAATGTGCATTTTGGGTACACAGTGAACAATTTTTTAAGTATAATATGACCCAAATATTGCACACAACATACTCATAGTAAAAAAAAATTGGCCCTTATTTACCAGAAATTCAATCTTTTTACTGGGTATCTGGGGTTTTTGTTTGCCAGAACTGACACCCCTTGGGAGGGGAGCACCGTCCCACTGTGCACTGGCCAGGTCACCCAGAGGCAGCCCATGACCTTCTCCCTTCAGGGGTTCCCTACATGTTGCCCTCTGGACCCCTCCTCATTCAGTCAGGAGGGAAAGGTGAGGAAGCTGAGGGCATTGCCAGTCCCTTCTTCCCTTCTCTCTCCCTTCCTCCCTTTCCCGTCCACTCTGACGAACTCCACAGTCCCCTTACTCATCAGTGCCAGGTGCTGGACTACAGGGGAGAAGTCAGACTTGGAGCTGATGACTTGGGCAAAGGAACAGCACCAGGATGGTAAAAAGGATGTATATAAGACAGTGAACAAAGCTTGGCAGCTGGCATGGAGGCACACCCCTGTGATCCAGTGACTCAGATGCTGAGACAGAAGGGTCACAACCTGAAGGTAGGCTGTCCTGGACAATTTAGTAAGACTCTATCTCAAAAGAAAAAAGGCTGAGGAAGTAACTCATGGTATAGCACTTGCCCAGCATTGGCAGAGCCCTGGGTTCAATCCCCTAAACCACCACACAGCAAAACAAAACACCCAAGTTTTTCATAAGGTGATAAATGATGTGAAAATATTAAAAGAGAATGATATCATAGGCAGTAAAGAACCCTGAAAATTGGCCTGGGAAGTCCTCTATGAGCAAATGATGTGTGTATAGTAATCCAATGAAAAAATATAGGCAGCTATACAAAAATCCAGGGCAAAGCTGGGCACGGTGGTACACACCTGTAATCCCAGCATTCTGAGAGGCTGAGGCAGGAGGACCACAAGTTTGAGCTCAGTCTATGCAATTTAGCAAGATCCTATCTCAAAATGAAAATAAAACATAAAAGAGGAATACAATTCAGTATGAAGACACTGGGTTCAGTCCCAGTGCCACCGAAATAAATAAATTAATCACTAAGATGGGGGAGTTTCAGGTAAGCAAGCTGTGGAACCAAAGCAGTGGCACATATCTGTCACTCTATCACTGGGTGAGTCATCTAGAAAGATCAAACAGGCTCCCAAGGTACAGAGTACCAGGGGCTTAGGGAGCAGAGCAAAGGAGCCGCTGCAAGGAGACAATATCAATCTCGACCAACTGTCTAGTTGATAGTAGCTAAAGGACATGACTCATGCAAAATCAGTGTGATAATCCTCCCCTCAGGGCTGTAACAGCTTAGTCAGCTTAGGGCGCAGAAGGTAGTGTGCTGGGCACCAAGTGAGGGGCCACCTGTGGCAGTGGGAGTTCTGCTTACCCTTATCACTCTACACCCATTAATAAGGATTATCAGCAGAGGTCACAGAGACCAAAGACTCTGAAGTTATACTGCCAGACTCCGCTCTCCCAGTCTCCAAACTAGATCTCGGCTTCCAGATATGATCGCTGGGCAAAGGAATCAGGTCTCATTGAAGAAATGGCTGATTTGAGTTTGCAGAAGAATAGGGTACAAGATGGGCCTGGGGCATTTTGTGCCCCTAGATAAAGAAGTTATCAAAAATACAGGATGCAAGATCCAGTTTGAAGTTACTTTCACTGACTTAAGCAGCAAAAGGAACACGGGGTGCTACTAGTTGAAAGGCATTGAATATTTTAAAAGCCAGGGATTTATCCTGAGCTTCATCTGCTACCTTCCACAGGAAGCAGCTGTCATGTCACTTTCGGTAAATAAGGGGAAAGAATTGAACATTTATTCTTCCCTTCCAGGATGAACTATGTTTTAGGGAAACCCCAGCAGCCCATGTTGGTGAGACTTCTTGCTAGCAAATACGGGAGGAATGATAAAAGCAGAAAGAGCATCACTTTCCAGCTCCCAATGGAATAGTATCATCCCCCCAAAGAACAACAGCAGGGAAGAAAGGTGGGTGAGAGACTCCCACAGAATCTCAGATCCATCCCTTGGCCAGTTGTCTTCACAGAAGGAGAGAAGCGTTAGAAGTTGACACTTGTGGACCAACCAGAAAATTTTGAATATTTATTAGTTACTATGTTATATCATGAAAGTATTTCATCAGAATTAGCTTCTGCTTGCTTTGCCTGCCATCTTCAAAATGACCACCCGGGGGCAGCAGAGCATCGGGCTGGCTGTGAACTCCGGCTCAGAGGAGGAATGGCAAATAAGCGATGTGAGCGACGTCCGTTGATCTGGAGTTCTTTCATTATCTGGTGCTTAATGAGCTCTGACTATGTACGAGGTCCTCTATGCTAGACCTAGGGGCACAGAGTTAAATTCACCCCAATCCCCCTCCTGGGCCATGTGCATAGATTTGGAAGCCAAGAAGGGGCGGCAGGCGGGAGGTGCTGTCCTCCTAGGTCTGTCTTCTAGGTGTAGCCCCTGATGACCGTGTCAGACATTCATTGGGGTGGAGACCTTGGCCAGGGATGCTGAAAAACAAAGAATCTAATGAGGATTGGAGGGAGCTGGGCACTTGTGCTATGTGTGTTGACTTATATACATTTTCATTTACCATTTATCAATTGTGAGGCCTTGGGAAAATTAACTCTGCCTCTCTGAACCTCATGACACTAAAAATAGTTCATGTGATAGCTTTTCTGACCAAATGGCTAGGGAGTTGTTTAAAGAGGGTTCAACCCATAGTGAGTGCTGCTCACACATGTATTTTCCTACATAAGTGTTCCTATTGGGAACTGTAGGGTAGAAGCAGACCATCAACCGTCCAATTTACATGAAAGCCCAAGGTCTGCTGGCAAAATAACCAGTTCAGTTTGGAGACAGAGAGACACTGGAATTAAGACTCTCCGAAGGCAAGATTGTAATTATAGCAGCCCCATATACTGAATGAGAATTTTCTGCTTTCCAGTCCACGGCCCCAGAGAAGCCTCCAGGCGGGCACTGAGG